CCATTTCAGTAGGTAATTGGCTTGACAGTCTGGAAGGGGCTCTGCTTATTCTTCCATGAATACAGGAAAGATTGATGTATGACTGCATAGAAACACACTGAGGACGTAGCTGGGTTAGCCAGTCAGTCATTGTTTGAATTGGGTATAAACTGATGACCTGACGTTAACATTGATGAGCACTGACTTACTACTATAGCTCACTGCAGACTCAGACCCAACCTCTGGCTAGCAGTACAGAGCCTGGCTGCCCCATGGCAAGGTACACAAGTGAAAGATGCAGATGATACATATTTATACATTGCTTCTCTGTACAGTACATTACACATGCACACAACTGCCTAGTTCTTCTGATTCATACTATTGCCAGAAACTTCTGTAAAAATACAGCCTTCTCCTTAATATATACTTTACTATTGACTCTGTATTTATGATGATACTAATATATATTTGTGTATTATTTTGCACTTAAAGACTTTGGAGACAGGTGTCTTACAAATGCTTACGTAGCTTATTTGATTGAGTTTATCGTGTAAATAATAATAATGATTGCAGAAAAAAGGAAATGCACGAAACTGAACTTAAAAAATGAGGAGTACTTGTGGCACCTTAGCGACTAACAAATTTATTTGGGCATAAGCTTTCGTGGGCTAAACCCCACTTCATCAGATGCATGCAGTGGAAAATACAGTAGGAAGATAGATATACACAGAGAACATGGAAAAAATGGGTGTTGCCACACCAACTGTAATGAAACTAACCAATTAAGGTGGGCTATTATCAGCAGGAGAAAAAAAAATGGTTGTGGTGATAATCAGGATTGCCCATTTCAAACAGTTGACAAGAAAGTGTGAGCAACAGTAGGGGAAACATTAGCATGGGAAAATGGGCCATCCTGATTATCACTACAAAAGTTTTTTTTCTCCTGCTAATAATAACCCACCTTAATTGATTAGTCTCTTACAGCTGGTGTGGAAACACCCATTTTTTCATGTTCTCTGTGTGTATATATATCTTCCTACTGTATTTTCCACTGCATGCATCTGATGAAGTGGGTTTTAGCCCACGAAAGGTTATGCCCAAATAAATCTGTTAGTCTCTAAGGTGCCACAAGTACTCCACTTTTTTTTTTTTGCTGATACAGACTAACACGGCTACCACTCTGTAAACTGAACTTAATAATTGCTATCTATTCGACATTAAAGAGTAAACAAAGCATGAGTTGAACTGTGTGAGCTTGACTATCTGGGAGGCCTTTTTTAAAATATGGATTTCATAAAAAGTCCCCACATTTCAAGATGTCTTTACACATTTAGAGTTTTTTAAAATATTTTTTCCATCTTTGATATTTCCCAAATTTTGTTATACCTACATGTTGCTTGAGGATTTTTTTCTTCCAGTGATTTGCAGCAGAACCTCTAGCTGCTACTAAAGTGAGAGATTGGTTCTTTATGTTTCAAATATTATTGATTTTTTTTCCCAGTGGAATTTCCTTGTCTCCCCAAAACTTAGCTTTCTGTTGTACAACTGTGTGTCAATTTCTGGGGTAGATTTCAATTACATTTACACCCACCCATGTCTATCCAGAGTTACTTTAGATTTGCAGTGGAATAACTGTGATCAGAATCTGGCCGTGTGTGTGTGTGAGAGAGAGAGAGATTACATATAGTATAATTTTGCTCTTTGTATCTTACAAAGATGCTTGTGTTACCATGCAAGAGCCGAAAATCTCTCCCAAAGGCTTTGGTTTATAAGACTGCAGCAGAATTGTCTGCTTGTTTTATTCCAATAGAGTTAGTTATTATTTATAATTTGTTACCCATCCACATGCTGTTTGAGGGAATCGCTTAGTATAGCTGGTAACTGTCCCACTTTGTTCTTTGCAGACCCCTGTTCCGCTCTTGCTCTTTCTTTCAGATAATGAATTGGGGTTTCTCCTTTCTTTTAAGGCTGACTTTTCAGGCAATACATGACAGTAAATCCACAAGTGCGGAAGAGCTGAGTCCTTGCAGACTTGCCTGCAGGGGAGGGTTCTGCTACCACTGCACTCGGCTCATCGAGAGAAAGGGCATTCTGAGAGCAGTTGCTGGCATGAATGAAGTCCTGCTTTGATTCCTCTTGACAGCTCGGATCACATCCAGAAGGGTTTTTGAACAGGAGTATGTCTTTGCCATTCACTCACGTTTGGTGGCTGTGTTGTGAAGAATGAAGCTTTCCAACACATTAAATACCCATTTGAAAAAAGCACCATCTTTGAAAGCCGCACCCCATTCAAGCTTCTGATCCTCACTTTCAGAGCTATTGACAACTCCACCTCCACCGTCTCCCTCTGTCCCCATCTCCTCCTATGTTCTCAAACACCCAGGCTAGGCCTACACTACAGACCTGTATCAGTATAACATAGTGTGAAAAATCCACACTGCTGAGCAACGTAGGTATCCCGACCTAACTCCCCATGTAGACAGCGCTATGTCGATGGGAGAGCTTCTGTCGACATAGCTACTGCCTCTCGGGGAGGTGGATTAGCTATATCCAATAGGAGAAGCTCCCCTTCGGCGCAGGAGCATCTCCACTAAAGCGCTGCATTGGTGCAGCTGGGCCACTGTAGCACTGTACGTGAAGACAAGCCCTCTGTCTCCACAAGCCTCTCTCCTCATCACTCCTCCAGCTGCTTTCCTCCCTCTTCTCTATGCTTGGGACTTCCAACTACTGTCATACAGGCCACTCATTTCCTCCTTCCAATCTCTTCTCAAAACTCAATTATTTTCTATAGCACCAATGAACCAGGTACAGCCGGCACTATATTGTATGAGAGTACATTGGCACTCCTTTCATAGAATCATAAAAACATAGGGCTGGAAGATACTTTGAGAAGTCATCTAGTCCAGCCTCCTGCGTTGAGGCAGGACCAAGTATACCCAGAACATCCCTGACAAGTCTGTGCTTAAAAACCTCCAATGATGGGGATTCTACAACCTCCAATGGAAGCCTGTTCCAGTGCTTAAATGTACTATATGTTTGTGCATCCTTTCCTCACGTATTCTACTGGAAGAGCTTTACTAGTGTGAATAGTCAGGAAAAGCAAATTTTATGCTCAAGTGTGCAAATATTTGCAGGCCACAACTTCCAAACTGCAAACTAGCCCTTTGCAAACATTATACTCAGATAGGGTATTAAAAACTCATGCTGTGGATAGTAGGCACATAAATTGTCCAAACGGGGAACAGAACCAATGCCACGTGACTTACGTAACTAGCCAACACAGCATGAATTGCAAATAGTTGTAAGGAACAAGTTGCAGGTAAAGCATTATAGGCTGAAAAAGTTTGCTAATAGATTTGAGTGTTGAATAAATATGGTAATTTTGCAATTTTTTCACAGAGAAAAGAGGAAGTTAAATTCATGGAATAAATTACTTGATTCAAATTATTTGCCCCTGCCACTCCCACCTCTTCTCTCCTGCACCCCTCTCAGTTATGTAGCTCAATCTCTGTTGTCCTTCCATCCCCAAACTCCTTAAATGAGTTTCTTACTGAACCTCTGCAAAACGATTGCATTTGGAGAACGTTACAGAGATTGAACTAAACCATCTGGTTCCTACGAGAAAGAGAAAATGATTTCTTTTATGCCTTTGCCTATAGATTGCAGGTCACCAAACTGACATTATTCAAACACAAAAGCATTTACGGATTTGCTATTTTTAGGAGAATAAACACGGATTCATTTTTTGAGATACCATAATTAACAAGCTACTATTTAAAAAACAAACAAATGAAACAATCTAAATCCAGCTGCAAATTTCAGTACGAGCCACATCCCTACAACATCAGCGTAGTCCATATTCAGAAATCCTGGCAGAGCTGCTTATCTGGAAGGAGAGACAGGCCCATATGCATGTTGGGTTTGTGGCATCCATTCAACAATAAATTCTACATGCTGAAAGGTTTTTTTCTTCCTTTTTTGCAGACCAACTGGCTGCATTTCCATAAAACAATCCTGTTCCTATTCAGCCTGTGCAAAGGCAGCCAGGGCCAGATTTTTCACAACTGCAGGTGTGTAACCTCGTGACCTATTTGCACACACACACAGCTATAGCCACTCCACACACAATGGCAGTAATCAATGTGCAAACATGGCACACGATTACACGTGTGAGGTTATGCAAGTCTGGCCCTTAGCGGCCTGGTAATTCCCCTTAGTGCAGCTGAGTTTAGGTGTGGGCCACTATCTTGGGCATTACATCTAAGGGAGTAGTAGTACACAGACTATTGTAGTTTTGAAATCACTAGGGTCATATCATTGTCAGGCAACTGTGCCTGGGAGCATCATGTCCCACATTTGCAAGGAAACCAGCCCAGTCCTGCCCCCTTGTTTCCCACACATACTTGCTATACACTTGCAATATGACGAGAATATATAGCAATCTCCCCGCTTTCTTTTTCACAGATTGTTCAGTCCTCACATACAAATCTGTAACAGTTTCAAATGGGGCAGGTTCCCAAGGGGATATGGGAACTCACAGGAGATATGGGACTTCTCGTTTTCTCCTTTGGAACAGTCCTGGTTTTTCATTCACTGATTGTTGGGCCTAGTGGTCAGAGTCAGGGGTCAGAGTCAGAATGAGGAGTCCAGAGCTGGGTTGGAGCAAGACTGGAGTGAGAGCAAGGCTGGAGCGGGCTAAGGTGAGGGGAGAAGGTGAAAGGCCAGAGTGGAGAAGTGTCCCACACTTGACCCCGTTGCTGAGCAAGTTGCCTCCAAGGGGGAGGCAGAACAAAAGGAGAACACTCTGTCTTATCTTTGGTCATCGTAAGATAAAATCTGACCTCCCCGCAGGGAAATCCATGGTTGGTCAGCACTCCTCAGCCTCGACACTTGTTATTCCTGGGACACTGGGAAAGCCACAGGAATTCTCTGCCAGGTAGATATATAAAAACGTCTGTCAAACCTGAACGACCTCTTCTACTCTGTAGTTGTCTGTCTAGCATCAAAACCCCTCTGCCTTTGTACACAAAAAGACCAATGCATCCGGAGATGACAAAGGGCTTGTCAAACATGTGGCTGGAAGCCTCTGCTCATGTAGGACCTGACACAAGCCAGTGGATGGTGTAACTCTACAGAAGGGTGAGTTTATCCCGGTAACAGTCTGGGTGTGGAGCTAACACTGCATACAATGTCAGTGCAATACACAGAGATACTAACAGTGAAGCTTTAAGTGACAGCTCTCAGCTTTGTCCAGAACACCAAACCCGCATGTGGTTTGGCACAATCCAGCCCAACTAGCAGTGTGTGCTGAGGGTTAGTATAGGACAGGGTGATGCAAGGCAGGACGGAGGTGCACCATGGGGAAGCTGGTTGGGCACCTCCCAGCACAACAGCTAGCTTCTTATGAGGCTGCTGTCACTGTAGTGTGCACTTGAGTAATTTCCGTGGCACGGCAGTGAGGTAGGAAAACATTTTCTCTCCCATTTTACACATTGGAGAGAGATCACATGACTGCTATGCTTGGCTTACCCTGCTGCTTAGTCCCTTGTTATGAATAGCACTAAATTCAATCAAGGATTTAAAAAAAGGGGGGGGGGGGGAATGTAGCAGCTTTGTTTTGCAGGAAACATGAGCATGAATCACCATCCTTCTAGTCGTCTCTGGCTGATTCGTGTTCATGACACTGACAAGAACCCTGCTTTCCAACATTGCTGGTATGGTTAGAATCAGGAAACTAGCCTGGAGTGAAAAGCTCTGGATATAGGCTTTGTAATTCAGGAGGTTTTTTTCCCCTCCCAACCAGAGGATCATTTTATTACTATATGGAATTGCTGACCTCACAATGGGGTTACAGGACAGTAGAACTGAATCCTAGAATGGAGGAATACTTAAGGAATGACAATATCACAGGATATACCTACCGGACAGGCAGAGGATGGAGTGAATAGACTTCTATGGCCAGATTTTCAAAGGTATTTAGGTGCCTAAAGATACAGATAGGCATCTAGTGGGACTTTCAAAAGCAGCTAACTCCTGTTGCTCCTTTCCACTGGCCATTGATGGATTTTCATCCCATTGGTATGGGTAATATTTGGAAGAGTGGTACTTTTTGATAGGAGCCAGTGCTGTCTTATAGTGTAAGCACTAGGATGGGCATTGAGAGATGTCCAACCCTGACCTTCTGTGTCCTTGGACAAGTCTCTTACCCGCTCTATCTCCATTTCCCAATATATAAAATGGGGATAATGAATATTTACTCTTGTTCTGTGAAGTGCTTAAAGATTCTCTGATGAATAGTGCTATATAACTGTAGAGAACATATGGAGTTAACGTGTATGGTTCTGCTGCAATGGGATGGCTATCGGGAAGAAGAGTCTCTGTAGTGAGCTCTCTCTCTGCAAGAACCTGTTTCGTCACAGGACCATCTAAAGACAATAAGATAGAGACTGAAAGGAGCAAAAGAAGGAAATGAAAGCGAGCTCTTGTTTATGTTCCAGATGAAGCACTCTCTGTATCTAAGGGCAAAATAAGGTACAATTAAAGTAATAAAATCTGAGACATTAACAGAGAGGTGCAAAGGTTTGTGAATCTGTGGAAGTAATTGCTTTGACTCTTTTCAGAGTAACAGCCGTGTTAGTCTGCATTCGCAAAAAGAAAAGGAGTACTTGTGGCACCTTAGAGACTAACCAGTTTATTTGAGCATGAGCTTTCGTGAGCTACAGCTCACTTGAGCTGTAGCTCATGAAAGCTCATGCTCAAATAAACTGGTTAGTCTCTAAGGTACCACAAGTACTCCTTTTCTTTTTGCTTTGACTCTGGTATTGAAGGGCTGGGGTAGATGAAATGCTGAATGATATTTTTCCACCCCCTTCCCTGCCTCCTCGCTCCAGCACATTACATAACACAAAACATCACCCTTCCCACTGCAAATGCAGTTTGAGAACTGTGGAGTACAGCCTCCTGACCATTGCCGACTATTCCTGTAATAATTAGTTAGTATTGACTTAACTGTGGGGTTTCACAGAAGGGGAGAACATTTTGTTCATCCTGCTTCCCAAGGACCCTGCAATCAGTTCTTGTTTTTAACCCCTCTTCTCCCAGACTCAAGTCCCCCCATCACATTGGCCATCCTCCCAAGCAAGGATAAAAGGGCTCCCGCTTGAAGCTGGAGTGGTGCATTCTCTAGGGGTTAGCAGAGAGGGGAAAGGGAGGGTTTCCAGCTGCTGAGAGGAAGGTGAGCTTGAGAATTGCTCTCCCCAGGACTCCACTCACCACCGGGCCACCAGAACCTCCATCTTGCTTTTAGCCCCAGTGTGGGCTGCTGATGTGACCCGATTTTCCCCCTACTGGTTCCTGACCTAACCCTCAGGGTGGGAGTCAGCAGGAGAATATGGGTCACATTGGTAGCTGAGGCCGTGGCAAAACCACGATGGAAGTTGAGGAAGCCGACAAAAAGCCTGGGGTAGGGGTGGAAGAGTGAGGGCATTGGCAGTTTTCAGAGGGGACTGTGGGAGAAAGGATATGTTGGAGGGAACAGGTTGGCTGTAAGGAGAGAGACAGGCTGGACCCACACACTTTGGATCAGGATCTGTATTTACAGCAATACTTTCCCAACTCAGACTAGATCTGGGGTTCTGTTTCTGACCCGTCTCTATGGGAGAGGAAGGGCTCATGGTGCAGTGGGGGATTAGGGGTGGCGCGGGAGAAAACTGTACTTGTTTTTAGCACCTCAGTGCATAATAGTGCAGATAACAGAGAGTATTTAGAAAGCGGCGAGGTTTACTGGTCTCTGGCATAAAGCTGCAGGGCTGTCAATACTTGTGTGTAAACTTGGAAGGTTATATTTACAGCACTGCACTATAATGAAAGCAATGGGGCATATTTGTAGCCAGGGCTGCACTGTTTAATCTTGGGCAACTTCTTCAATGAGTGCAGAGTATAGGGAAGCAATTAACATTCACAGGTGTGGGCTTCTCTCTCTCTCTCTCTGAATAGTCACATCTTGAGCAGGAGAGTGCAAAAGGCCCCCTATTTCCCATCCTCCCACAGCCAGGAAGGTCTTATGTGAAACATGCACATCGTTCAATTTTACATTGCTTTGCTTCTGAACTTAAAAAGAATAGGGGGGAAAAGGCAATTAATCTGACTAGTAATAGTAAATCCATATATCTGAATCTGAGGATCTCAAAGCACTTTGCAGACATTAAGTCTCACATCCTCCCTTTGAGGTAGCAAAGTTTGATTAGTGTAATTTAACAGAAGGGGAAAGTAAGATGGGGAGTGATAAAGTGATTTAACAGAGGTCGTATGGAGTCTCTTGCAGAACTAGGAATAGAATTCAGGTCTTCTGATGTCCAGTCCTGTGTCTTAGGCACTAGACTGTCTTTCTTATACCCCCCAACTCCAATATTTAAAATGCAGCAAGGATTTAGACCTCTTCAATTAAAACAAATCAAGTGAATTCAGTACTAGTGAAGGGAGTTGTACTGACAACTCCTGGCAACCTTTTGCCACAGAATATGTATGGCAAGTGTAGTAGCAATGTGTGCTTTCCTCCCGCTCACTTGGGGGATTATGTTTAGGGATGAGACGGTAGCTCAGTGATCATGCCCATTAAGTCTTCCGTGCTGAAAGTATCTAGAAGAGCTGAGCTGAGGATTCGGTGTTCAGACCCAGAATAGCCTTAGGCTAGGAATTGTAGTCAATGACACCAACATTTGGCAAGCCCACTTTACAAATCTCTGCCCTAAGCGGTGGAAATTTCACAGGATCAGCTGTTCTGAGATTTTCAGCACCTTGAGCCGAAATCTCATGAAAATTGGTGTGACTCTGATCCTTAACAGGAAAATAGGACCATTCTGGGTTTGGAGCAGACCTGGAACTAAAACTGTAGGGGTGGGTTCAGATCTGGAGATTTTAAATCTGACCCTCCCCCTGTCACCTCCAAAACTGGGAGCTGTTGAGATCCAAGGTTATTCTTATCTCTGCTGGCAAATTATGTCAGTAGGTATGGTAATGGCTTTTGCCATGTAGACACATGTCCACTGGGAAGCACAGAGAAAGGCAACCAAACTCATATTGTAAGTGACCACACAGGCATTCGATGCGGAAATGGTGGCTTTCTGCCACTACTGACCTGGGCTGGATTTGAACTATGTTGAGATGTTCTCTGAGCCATCAGTCCTTAGGGAGGTGTGGACTAGGTTTTCTTGAAATAATAGTAGCTGCATTCTTTGAACACATTGTATGTGGAAAGTGAGCGCTAATCCATTATTTGATTTAGCCTTGCCAGCAGGATCAGGTTGTTTCTGTTCAGCATTATTGATTGGTTTTGGTAGTAAACCCACAGCAATAGAACACAACTCATTGCTGACCTTTCAGACCAGCCCTTCTGTGCCATAGGGGAGACATGCAAGACAAACCTTGGTGTGCGGTTTAGGGTCAGGCAAAAGATTGTACAAATTGCACCGCAATCTGATATGTAACTGACAAGTAAATGCATTCTGGGTCCCAGTAGTCTGTTCTGGCTCCTCTTGTGATGATCTCCTCTCCTGCCACCTCAGTGCTGATTATTCCCCTATCTATGACTCTGCATTTGTCCAGCCTCTTCTCTCTGGCGTCACCTCTTGGATGTTCAGCTGCCATCGTAAACTCAATCTTTCTAAAACTGAATTTCTCCACTTCCCCCCTCTCTCTTTCCCCTGCTTCCCTTCTCTGTCTCTGCTGAGATCTTCATTATCATTCCTATCTTTCTGACCCATATTTTCAGTGTTCTCTTTGGCTCCTCTCTCTCCTCTCCCGGATGTGCAGTTTCTTCTGAATGCTGTCATTTTTTCCCTTTTTAATGTCTTTTAAAGCCATCCTTTCCTCACTGTTCCCGCAGCTGAAAATCCAAAGTCATCATGTAAAATAGTATCAAATTGTACTCACTGTAATAAAAAAAAATACAATGTGTTTTGTGGGCAAGAGTGATCTGATTAGGACTCAGTTGCTCCTTTTTGGGGTGGCCATGCAAAGCTATGTATGGAAAGGACTAATGCAAGGCGAGATGCATTTTGTTAGCCTCTTGACTCTCCAAACTTGGACTGGAATTCAAACTTCCTGTCCTGTCTGCTAACAGAAAGTGTAGAGCAGGGTTT